ACGTGATCGCGTCCTAATTGTATGATACATGAAAGATATTTGTTTATAAAAAAGAAAAGTGGCATAAGTTTACATTACAAGCTTTCCCCTTCTTATTACGATATTTTCAGAGATAGCTGCGAATGCAATGAAATTTCCGCAGACTTAAGACTCATTATACCCTTTTATTCCTAGTTTATCTAGACCGTAATATTTGTGAACACGAGAAGCTAACAGTTACGTAGTGATCTCGAGCAGTCGACATGCTGAATTCATAGTAGATGAAAAGATACTGACTTTTTACTAAAGTTTTCATCAATTTCTACTCTAATCTAAGTAAAACTGGAACATATGAATATAATTTTCTAAGACCTCGTAGGGGTAAGTAACGGTAGAAAAAAAAAACACCAAAAAAAAAACAGGTCCGCGAGTAATTTTATCTTTGCGCCATTCTTGCTCTATCTATTATCAATGATGCTGTGAACTCATTTAAAAAACATTAAATTTAACTTCTGGAAAATGATCGAAATGCCCATCGCGAGGAAAAAAGTATTTGTTAATGGACTTTGTGCGCATGAGGAAAAGCGATCAAAAGTCAAAATATCACAAATTATTTTCTTGACTGAGTTAATAAAATGGGTCATAAAATAGACGAATATATGCGTTTTTGGCTATTTAAATCAAAATACCATGAAATTATCCTCTCATCCCACTTCAACATATTTTTAGAGACAGCTTCGGAAAAAATGAAAATGCCGGTGCCATCGTATCGTCGCCATCTTAAATTTATATATTTTTTAATCCATCCAAGACTTTACAAAGCAATTGAGATAGGATTTCAGTACCTGGAATTCTTTGAATAAACTCAATATATTAACTTTCGTGGATAAAATTTCGTAACTTGTCTCATTTACGGCATTTTTGAGGAGTCCGAGTTAACTATTGAGCAATAATGGCATAACTGGCTGAGTTGCGAAAATCGAAGGGGATGAATAGGTAATTATATTCTGGAGTTTGACGCTGAATGCATCTTATATAATATAGTTATACTTCTTGCTCATTTTTGTTGCTTTTCTGCTTGTAATTTTTGCATGGTCCATTGTCCACCCCTCCAATTCGACTCAAAAACCGTCATTTGTAAACACAGTCAGACTGCGTGGAAGAAAACAAAAAGTTTGACAATAGTATATAGAGGAGCAGTTCTCCTTCTGCAAAGATTCCAGATAAAACTGGGATATACACAGTGTTAGCTATGGACATGTGTGGATTGACGAAAGGAGTAAATAGCTGGAGAAACCAGGTTTAACTCCTTCAAAAGATGAACGAGAAGCAACCACAAACGTACCCCATATGAAACGCTACGCCCGCAAGGATTTTTTTTTCTTTTTATCGTGGTCGTTTCGCCATCTCTGATTTCTCTACCATGCTGTGAACACATTTGTGAAAAACATTTATTCGACTTCTGAAACAAACATCGGAATTCCCATTATAAAAAAAAAGGACTACGAAATTTGAGCACACAAGGAAAAACGATCTAATAGAACGGCGAGGAAGACTTTTTTTGAAAAGTCAAAATGTCAAAAATAATCTTCTTTAGTTGGCGACATCGGTCGGTACAGAGACCAAATCTGTGAAAGCTAGTCTCGAATGTATAACACCATAATCGGCCACCCTTTTGATTTTTCATCTAAATAACAATTGTAGACACGTACTCAGTTGAGCTAAGTTTTATATGAATTGGTGTTATACTTTAATCAGAAAATTACAATCATAGTTACTATCATCAGGTACATTTGTATGGCATAGTTTTTATAGACATGTGTGGCTCAAGTTTATTACATTCAGTCTAGTGTTTGGAATTATTAATTATTTCATAAATTTCGTCATTTTGAGGAAATTTTCTATATTTTAAACAATTCTCTGTACAAACTTTTATTCAGTCAAAGCATATGGTCGATATGGACACCTACGCTTTATGCAATTAGGGCCTTCATGCGACGTCGCGAATCCTCTCACACCTTATTAATCTCAAAGAAGTGTCCTAGAAAGTTAAGAACTCAGGAATTAATGGGTCAAATCCGAAAAATTTTTCGTGCTCATTTACTACAATTTTTTTTAAAGCAAAAAGGCGATTTCGTAACATGCAATCCTTTTTGTTCTAGGAATCTGTCTGAGATCACGAAATTAGCGTGGAATGATATTTTTTTTCTGTCTTCATAACACGAATCACACAGGGATTTCGGTAATTTTAACTCTTTGACACTATTTCGGAATTCGTAGGCCTACAGGTCAGTCGCATTACTCTAAAAATTTTCCTCTTCAGCTGAACAAACTTTTCCATAGACTTATCATAAGCAGATAGCGAAAAATGCGAATTTGTGCTCGAGAAAGAATGTTCGGCAAAATATAAACAAAGAAAGAAGATACTTCCACATTTGAGCAACAAACGTCGAGAATGGTAATTTTTCCAAACCTAAACTTACAGCTGTAGTGAATGCTTAAGACTTAATTGGTTTGAAATTCGTTTGGTCATAGCTGAAACATGCTGCTGCCATTTTAAATTTCCTTCGGATTCCATAGTTGCTTGGTGTCACAGCGATTCTTCTCCTTTGATTTTGCTCGATGTATTGACGCGTTCGCCTGTTATCTGAGAAAGTTTAAGTTGGTAAAATCTGAGTTTGTATTTCTTGCTGATGTCCTCTTTGCTGTTGGGCGTATAATTTTCGAATCTTGGTATCCGAAAGTTGTAGCCTGACCTGCTGTTGGATCTCCTCTCTAGTTTTAAGGCAAGAGCGACTATTTTCACGCGTCATTATCGTGTTTTTGGTAGTACAATTAACTTAGAAGAGTGCGTAATTTCAATTTGACTTTTCCCCGTCTCTTTCAAGGTTTCTTCAGAATGAAATTACATAAGAAAAAAAAAAAAACTAAAATCTTCTATATGAGCTCTATCTCAAATGAAAAAAAAAATGGATTTAGCTATATCTAATGTCATAACTGATCCTTAAACTGAGAAAACAGAAAGGAACACAGAAAACTGTATATCAATATATTGTAATTCACGTTCAAGTCTAAACTGATTTCATGAAAAATGCGTTGCAAAACGTGTGGTAAATCACGTCTGAATTTGGAATTTAGACAGATCTCTTACCAACTAAAAAACGCATTTTTGTCAGTGTACACTTGGACAAGAGAAAACACACAGAGAAGAATTAGGCTACCTACGCAAAGTTGAAAAACAATGACGTGGCATTCTGTCATGAGGGCACTCAAGCCCAGTATTCCAAATACTCAACTGAGTCAGTTACAATCAAGAAATAACATTTCAACATGACTCTGAAATGGCACGTGCTATTCCCTTCGCTTAATACGAGAAGCAGCTAAAACAAGCTGTCCTAGAATGCCAATGCAATAAAGGCGCGTAAAAAAAAAGAAGACATTGACAAAGCGATTCGTGATTGAGGCGGATTTGGAAAAAATTACCTCTCCAGCATTTGCCCTTGGTGTCTATAGGTAAAATAAGCTTAGTTCAGCTGACTCTATTCATGATAACGCCGTCCAAAAGTTTCCGAACAAAAATGTCTGGTTGGCATTCGACTCTGGGAAAAATCAAATGGATTATATGACCTCCTTCCCGAAATGAAATTCACAAGAAGATGTGAAACTCTTTCCTGTTCCTCCAGGGTGCAGATAAACCAAGGTGTGTTTTAAATTTCCGTGAAAGCCACGTAAAGTAAGAAGACATTGACTAAGTGAAACTTGATTGAAGGGGATTTGGAAAAATAACGTTTGGAGCATTTGGCCTTCATATATACAGGTCAAGCAAGCTTTGGATAGCTGGGTCCATCCTAACTGATGCAGAAGAAAAATTGTCTTTGAAAAATTATCTATATTTAGTCATTAGCCCATAACTGTTATCCCCAAATTCGATCATCAAATTCCCGTTCAAACCCTTCAAATGTTCTTCATTGCGTAACGAAGAACCTCTTTCCGTACTTGATCTTTGCGTAGCCATTCTTGTTGCTAATGCGTCATACACACATGCCGCTAAGGCTGAGAGCTTGAATAAACATTCATGTTGCCTATAAACGCAGGAATGTCTAAGCACTTATTTAGTGTAAGAAGGGGCACGTAAACCCTTTATACCAAGCTGCTTATACAGTGGGAAAGCCTCCCTTTGATTTCAAGGTATCAAATCAGTCAATTCATCAAAGTATACCGACTAAAGTACTAAGTTTCTGTAACGGATCTTCCGCTTTGATTACAAAATAAAAAAGTATCGGTTTAGAGCTTTTTAAAATAAATATTAGGAAAAGCACACGATATTTTGACGTAAACGATTTTTCAAGTGCAACATAGCAATTAGTTCAAGTCGTAAGAAGGCTCTTTCGGCACGCAGTAGCTTATAGTCATACGGCTAGTCTCCCTGTAGCTTAATCCGTAAGACAAACAGTGGATAATTTATCAGGATTATAAACACTACATATAAAGCTCATTGCATATTGCTAAAGAAACTGTTTAAATAGGATGAAAATCATTATTCAGTTCATGGCTTTTGATGAAGTTTCCCTTGCCTTTTCAGTTACAGTTCGATTTAACACGATACGGGAGGTCTGATAACTGGGTCTAGCTATTAAAAAGGCGATTTTTTCAGACTGAGTTTGTCCTTTAATGAGGTTTAAAAGAGGGGTACCCCTTGCTTATGTTTGGTAAACCTTTGTCAAGTCAGTAAGTAAAAACGCTCTTGACAAGGTCTTTGTCCACCTGCATACGTGTCAAGAAGTGGTGCGTGATAAACTCCGCTTAAGAATTTGCTCTTTCCACGTCGTCACGAAAACGCTGAAAGTCTCATCATGCATCAAAATTCTGATACGTGTTTCCGGTGTTTAAAGTTTGACCAAGTGGGCAAATAGTAATAGTTGTTATTGTGGTTAAAATAAACAGCATGAGCCGTTTGAAAATCCATTCACTCTAAGAGACATGCCGCTTACGAGTCAACACGTCACATTGGAAATAGACCTCCCACTAAATTCTTCAGTAAATATCTTGCATGCTACTTGATACCGCTCATCCTGCGCTGGCGACAATTGAGAAGCTTGTCAAATTCAATCCTTTTACCTGGTGCCATTTTTAGAATGTCGGGATGTCATGATAAGTTATCTCTTTGACGATGGAAAGGTACTTGGGTCAGCGATTAATTATCCTCGCGCGGTTCGCTTAAGGGTGTTTTGCCGCGCTCGCGAAAATATTCCCGAAGACTAGGCAAAAGGAATCGTGTTCCACAAAAACATCGCTACGCAACCTTCTCCGTCCAAAGTATATTTTTGAGGAAAGGTTGTTTAGTTAAAAGTTACATTCTGCTGATGGCAAGGTATATACGCCCCGGCAGAGTCCACCCTGCCAGCAGAGCTTGGACTGTTGAAGAGACAAAAATTCCACATCGACCTAACTCGGCGATCTCCCATCGAAGAGAATCCTTCCCAAGAAATTTGATCGTAAATCCAACCTACAAACAACCACATTACGATCCGTTAGATTCTGCTACAGAAGAGGACATGGTGCCGACTGTGATGGAAGCACCACAAAATAACACCGTTCCTCGCCGGGTAACTAAACGAGAGAACATAAACTTGGTACGGCAAACCGAATGGGACGTAAAAGGCACGAAGACAGAGAGTCTTGTCCAAAGAAACACGCCTAGTAAACCAGTCAGTGTCCTGTTAGGATTAGTGTGTTTCACATCATGTTTGTCTCTCATTTTGACCCTTCTCATCCTCTCTGGCTCGATTGAGGCAGGAAGATGTTCTTGCGGCGACAATGAAGGTAAGTTGCAGCAGTAACTTTTTGAATTTCTTAATTGGGTATCAAAATGATTCAAATGAATAATGCTGTCAAGCGAGAATTTTTTGGTAAACCTTTTCTAGCTTACTTTTCACCCTGTATTAAAGTTTCCGCGTAACTAAGAAAGGTTTCCCCCCCTCACTTTGAACTCGGAAACCACAGATGCAGACAGGACATCCTCTTTGATTTGAGACAAAATAACGGAAGTTGCCACCACTGTTCAGCTCTAACACTGAACATACCTTTTGAATTGCACTAGTATCTCAGACACGCAAAAAAAGGGGCAAGGCATTTCCGACACAGATAATAACTGTAACCAACGAAGTAGGGCTAACCATGATAATCACAAAGCTTCAGTGAAATTTTCAGTTCTATAAACGCCCACAGCCGCAAAAATACCTGCATGCGTTTACTGTGCACTGCACTTTATTTTTTCCTCTGATTTCCAACCAACGAAGTAGGCCTATCCGCGATAAACACAAAGCTTCAGCGAAATTTTCGGTTTTGTAAACGCCCACAGCAGCAAAATTACCTCTGTATGTGTTTAATTTACTCTGCACTTTATTTTTTTATTTCCTTGCTATTAGTTTGATAACCAATGAAAGTATAGAATATCGCAACATAATGTAAAACGCAGCACCACTCTTGAAATGTTCCGGTGCCCTATCTACTCCCTTGCGGCAATGGAAACAGCTCAGGGAACATCTCTCACTTTCTTGAACTATGGACTATTTCTTGAAAGCCGCACAAAGCACTCAGGGGTGTCCGGGATTAGAGGATTTTAGCGAAGAAATAAAATTAAATCCCTGCGCTCAATTTAAGAAAGCCAGAGTTAAGTATGGGTGAAGTGTAGTCATATAGGATGAGATCTTTGGCAAGTTTATAATAAAGGGATTTTTATACAGGTTAACAGGTCCAGTGACCGCTTTCCTAGCGGCGTTTGCATTTAGATTCCATCAGCCTAGTTTATCTTGATGGCAAGTAATCATCTGCCTCGATCAACTTAATCAGAGTTAACCATGTGAATGTACTTGCACCCTTTCGGCAATTGCTTGTTTTTTTGTCTTGATTGAAAACAAATAATAGCAATCCTTATGAGGGTATCTCGAGGTGCCAGGTACAACTAGAGGCTTAAAATAAATCTCCTTAGAGGTAGCGTCTGTAAAAATGGGGATATAATTCACTGCGTTGTTATCTCTACAAGGGATATCAATTGCGAGTGTATGGAATCACTTGTTTAGGTCCAAGGACAAAGAGGCAGTTTTCGTTTATTCAACAGCAGTTTGAGAAAAATCGCTTAATGTTACCATTGCCTAACCGTCAATGAACAGTAAATGCATGATAAAGATTCCCAGTTGCGTACCTTTCCATGTTAACCATTAGACCACAGTGGCTAAATAAACCTCATGAATCATGTTCAAAACACGTCAAATCACATTTTTCCCTCATTATTGTATCACGTGAAATATTTGTAATTGCAGAACGTGAAATTAAAGGAAGCTAGAAGACAGATATTTAGCCTCTGGGTAAAATCAATCTCCTTGAGAATTCGTTTCCCTCATGCCTTGACGACTCAACTTGTGACCTTTCTTGAACAGGAATCGGTGTTAAGTTTCTGAGTTATTCTGACCCTTGGGGCACTCTTTCCGTCAGTGGGAGCGCAAAGCTAGAAGATGTTTAAAATCTAAACAGTTTAAGTCAATGAGACATCGCAGGTGTATTTGTATGATAAACTCTTATATGGGGTAAGTGTCGGTGAATAAACATTGGAATTGATATTTAATTGCGATTTTAAGATAAAGGTGATCTGACCGGTTCGAAAGATTTGTAAGCAATATGGAAGGTTCTAGGACACAATTAATCCTGAAGTTTTTTATTTTATTTTTTTAATTCTAATGCTTTGGTGTCATCGTCCATTAAAAAATGTGGTCATCACATCAGAATTATAATGAAAAAAGGATGTAGTCCTGGGCATATTGCCAAAAATGACCGACTGTAGACTACCTTCTGAACTTTTCAAACAGAAGTTATTTAAATCTTCCGTCGTTGTAAACCACATAACGGCTGGTTTTAAAACCGTTTGCTCCCCTTAAGGTCTCAACGACTTGTTGCAAAGTCGATTTGGATCAAATTGAATTCTGCAAAACTGTAGAGGACAAAAGAAAGATAATCGCCGAAAATAATTTGTCACTGGAAACTAATATTCCTGAGGTCATTTAAAAATACTGTAGAGCAAATGAATACCCATTATTTAGTAGTAGGCAAAACATTAGATTGCGATTTTCAGTCGGTCTAGTTGTTAAAGATAAGAATGAATAATCATAAAACACCAGATGGGCTTGTCCATGGAAAAGTGCTTATGGACATGAGGTCAAACATATCCAAAGACTGATCGAGGCCCTAAAGTTACGGTGGTAAATAGTCGGTTTAACTCTAATTGGCCCAGTTACAATTCCATACATTTATTCAAACCCGTCTGCATGCAAAAAGTATTGACGATTGACAAGAAAGAGGTGACTTCACAAAGCAAATTAATTTGGAGGGCCCAAAGAATAAAACCACTTCTGTTAACGTGTTCTAATTTGAAGAGTTCTTAAATTTAATATTTTTCATAATCTTATTGTACTTTTTTTTTTTCATCTATCTATTGTATTATATGCGCTTATTGGCTTTGGTTAAAATGGTTAAGAACAATTAAATTATTTTTTCTGTCAAGACAGCTGATTATAAAATATTAAAGAGAAAAAATTCGCCATCTTTTAGAAGTAACTGCCTGATTTTCTCGCTGTACTTTCTTACCATTTAGAGCTTGGCAAAAAAAGCGCCATGGAGGCAGATGATGAACAGTCGGAGAAGTTATCTACAAATATATCTTCGCTTAACGAGCAAATGGTGATGCCTTTATACATTGATATTTTCATTAAAGATGGTAATAGTTGGGTTCTATACTAAAGCATTTTTCTCGCTAATATTGACCATAATATTATTATACCATGCAATTAACCGTGGGCAAGAGTTACGAAATCGAGTGTAATACCATTTTTGAAGTTAAGCGCTTTACAATTGCGTGTCGTCAAAGTAGTAAGTGTAGTGATCACAACGAGAATGAATATTTAACAAGGGCGCAGTGAAATTCAGATTAGTTCCTGAATAGCTGAGTGTATATTTATGCTGGTTACGATTAGCCAACACAGTCACACGTTATATCCGAATCTCGATTGAAAATCTCACCACAATGGTTATAGACTCGAGTTCGTGTGCACAAGTAGGTCGTTTAGACCGTTTAAATGCCCTATCGTCTCGGATAAGAAAGTAACTCGTAATTCAGGAAAAACAAATCTTACCTCACCTCCAATTCATTTAATGCAGGGGCCATTTTCAGAGTTTTTTGTCGTCTGACAATGATCTACATAGCTATAGCTGTAGTAGGTGTAGTGGATGGGTTCCAAAACCTGAAAAAATCCCTTTTTTAGCCAATTGCAATGAAATCAGTCTGATGTACTTGCTGTTCATTTCCAAAGGCGAAGATGGCAGACGAAAATAAAGGACAGCGATCTGAGGTAGGAAAAAAAAAGTTCATGTTAGATATAATACATGTAAACTACATTAGACTGCAGAGTCATAATGTTTAATATTACTTTACAGTTTCTGCAGAGAATTCAAACCTTGGAGAAGATGCTGTTGGGACACAATGCTACCAAACTACACGAGGAAGTCTCCTCTCAGGTAATCAAAAATTAAAGAAATAAGAAATTTAGGGTGCAAGGTAAAAGAGCTAGCGAGTGAAATATGTGGACCTTAACCAAGTACTGAAAAATGTTCGACCACGGCACTCTGCCGTTGCGGTCATTTGTCTTTTCTTACTTTTGTTGTCGTTGTTCGTTTTGTTTTCTTTTCAGTTTTTCTGTTTTATGTTATTTGCTAATAGTGATGCATATATAAAATAAATAGTCAGAGTCCATGCTTACTGCGTCAGCATATATGTATATCTAGTAGACACTTAGAACCTTATTTCCTTTTAACATGGTGATTTGGCAAGTGTCCCATTAAAATATCAACTATCTAAGTGTCTCATGCAGAGCTGTTTTTTACCTCCTGACGTTAGAATAACAGTATTAAACATCTTACAAAGCGCCTGGACTCTATTCAAACTCAAACTGTTGGACACGCTGCTGTGTTGGAAGATTTAAATTCCTCTACAACAACTAATATGATGGAGTTTAAACAAGTTTGGACTGTGGTTAATACTACAAAACAAGAAAAAGAAAATTTGACCAAGAAGGTAACACATACAACTTTGCCGTTACTGAACCTAGAATGTAACACATTCTTTAAAACACAGCTTCGCCTATAACAGTTCAAAGTACCTTGTGCGCCTAATGGTCATAAAAAACAATAATAAATAATAAAAAAAGTATCTTAATGATTCAAAGTTATTTTCAACGATTATGTGAAACAAAAATGTACTTTATCATTATATGAACCTCTGCAATCATCATTTATAGCAACGACTCAGAGCCAGCATGACTTCTAGCTAGAACATGAAGCCAACTGAATATCTGTAGTGATCAGAGAACGTTCACCCGTTGAGATGATTAACAAAGTGCGATCTAAGATTGTAAATTGTAAGGACTAAAATATTCAGAGCAGATATGAAAGTATTGTGCAAGCTTTGTTCCTGAGAAAGTCATTTTCTTTCAGGTCGATCAGGAGTTTAAACGTATTCGGCAAGATGTAAAGCAGACAGAAGGAATTTTGCTGAATAAAATGAACTCATCTCTGCAAGATTTCGAAAATAAGGTAGTAACCCAATAAATCGTTGTTGTGGTTGTGGTTTTTCTTGGAGACAGCCGGAAGAATTCCTCTTTACCCTCTACCCTCGGAGCAAGTGTGTTCCATTCAGGGCCGAAATGAATAATTGATAAATCTACCCAAATCAAGTTTTTTCTGACTGAACATCTTGGTTTTCGCCAGATTTGACTTCTTGTATGAGTTGCCAAACCCGCATGTCTAAGGCAACTACAATTTAATACATCCTCCAGCCCAATTTTAATTGAATTTAAAATATTTTGATGGCTTGAATAAATTGATATTTTGAATTGATAGGTCAACAGTGAAATTAAAGTTGTTTCACACAAGCTGAATAAAACAATTGCCCGTGGTGACTATTTATCTTCTTCATTGGAATCACTTGGGAAAAACGTAAGCATATCCGCTTGCAATATGTATATGATGAATGCCTTCATTTGATCAAATCATAATCATAAAGAGAGATTTCCCCATTTTCCTAGTGAGTCCCTCTGTTGGAAATTTTGGGATTACATTGGTTGTAAGGCGCTTATCCTGCCCTCCCTCTCTACCTTTGAAAATATACATCTGTTCAACTTCGCTAATTTGCTAGAACACCAAAGTTCTTGTATAGATACTTAAAAACATATCATTTCCTCATCTAGGTAACAAATAGTTTCGGGAAACTTGAGCTTAGAGTTAAAATGGAGGAAAAAAAATCTAACAACATCACAAAAATTTCGGTAAGTCACCAAATGCGAACGCTTTGACTTTTCACACGTCAATTGCAACTGTCGGTAACATGAGTGCAAGTGTGTGCAACACATAACAAAAAATTACATTTTATTCTAAAGGATCACCACTCCAAGTTGATCCAGCACTTGACGGATATGCTGAATGAGACTCGAGAAGATACGAGGAATAAGTCTCGAGAACAATCCACGGCTTTGGAACTGGCTCAAAATTCCACATTAACAGAACTTTTAAGAGTTTGGATGTTGGTGAACTCAACGCAGACGATTCTCTTGACAAAGTTAAAGAAAGTGCATGAAAACATGACTGAAAAGGTGTCTTTTTTCTCGTTGCTTGTTCTACGGTTTAAGATAGGTCATAGGCCATCATATAACATAGCTTACAGGAGTCCATTGGGTTTCTGAGCTTACTTATTAATCTTGCTAAAACACCTTGCTTTTTCAACTTTTTCTAAGCATAACATTCAGCGAGACTTAAAGAGAAAATAAAAATTAGAAAAAAACTTAGTTACCTTGGCATCGCCTTAGGCCAGCAAATCAGCCACTCAGCATAAAACTATTTGCTTAATAAGCTTAATTTACTTATTTGCCCAATGTTGCCACTACCCATTGTTGCCAAGAACCAGTTCATGCTCATAGATCTCCAAAGTATGTCACTGCTGCGTAACTTAGGGAGCCGATAATTTCTAGTTTGGTTATGATTTTAGCTTAAGCGTTCAATACTGATTACATTAATTCGTGATTGCTCAATTCTCAGATCCAAGACATTACTCATGCTGTGTGAGCAAGTCAGTTGACTGAACACAGACAATTTCACCCAATGACAGCCACTTTTGTTATTCATGTATTTATTTGTTTCTTTGTTTATTTATTTATTCACTCATATGAAACCTTTCTTTTCTCAAACCTCAGGTAACAAAGGAAAACGAGAAACTTGTAGCCAGAATAAAAATTGAGGAAAGCAAATCAAATAGCACAAAGCAGGTCACGGTTAGTAATGAATATCTTCCTTTTTTCATAGTGTATTCCCAGTTTTTAAAAAGGTAAAAATACTAATATTGTTTGTAAGAGTAAAAATGTGCGCCTGAAAGATTCTTTTTGCCATAAACATTCTTTTTTATTTTCCAAAGGATCAAAACCTTAAGAGGATTCAGCAAATCGAGGAATTGCTTAACATTACTCGTGAAAACATAAAAGAAGAGTCCAAAAAGTATTTCACCGCGCTATGGTTGGCAGGAAACTCTACCAAAATTGATCTTAAAAGTATACGCATGGTTTTGAATGAAACGCGTGGTAATATTGTTGGACAGCTAAAGAAAGTGCAAGACAACTTGACTGAACAGGTACATTATCTTTGTTACTTGAATTTAAGACTGAATGAACCTCTCTCTGACCACTCCATGTGAGGGTTATTACACATAGTATTACTCTAAGATTGTTGATTCAGAAAACATTAAAGACTAAGGTCACTCGACTCAGGGATTAACGATGAAAAGCAGCTTTATCACTAAGCATACCTCGAAAAAGACTAGAAGTGCTATTATAGTAGAGGGAGAAACACGACCATAACAAATGCAAAAATCTCCGCTAGGTCTACAAGAGCCAGGCCCAGCCCCCTTCCCCACATACATAGTGTGTCAATCAGATTGAATTAATCAATAAATCAAATGAAGGATATTCATTACTACGATCAGAAAGATGTCATAAACAATTTCTCCCAATCGTGGAGTAAGGAAGAACTCTTCGTGGACATTCGAACCACGAACCTTGCCCTTAAAAGATCCCATACTCTACCAAATTAAATATAGAGAAGTGGTTTTTGATCCAGTCATATGCTGATTTTTTGCATAATAAGCACCATGTGTTCTGCCGAGATCAACATCGACGACAGAGAATAAATAACAAAAATGAGTGCACCGTAAATCTTCAATTGTCACAATATAAAAAAGAAATGAGTTTTGCTTAATTCGATTGCTTCGGTGGCTTTATCGACCAAGGGGATTTCAAGTTTCTCCGGTTGGTAGCACGAATTGTTCGCCACACTTCCAGCGAAGCAGTTCTTTTTTGGTTCTATACAGCAATTATTTCTTAAGAATAAATTAAATGGTTTAAATGTATGTGTATTTTTATAGGTTATTTCACGGTTACTGAGCGCGTACGATTTTTATTCACAAAGAGTGGATAAAAATCGTACAAGCGAACTAATCGTGAAATAACTTATTCTTTATATACATGGCGGGATTCATAAGCGAGCAGAACTCAAAGATCAACATACCCTTATATTCTTTCGAAGGAAAACAACGCACGGTTAAGCCGCTTCCCAGTTCGAGAGTTACACTGAAATGGCCTCCTTGTAAAATACTTTACATTTAAATTATCAAGCAATAATGCCGATAAAAGGCAGAACTAGTTAGAATAAAATAAGACATCCTGAAAATATCTCAAAATAGTTCTACGAAAGGTCAAAATTTGAAATACAGAATGAAAACCCGTGACTCTCCGTTTTAGGTCCCTTTGCTTTGACCGAAGTGCTTTCCGAGTTTGCTCGAACTGGACGTCTTTCATAAGGCAAAGTCCATACCTTTTTTTTGCTTTTCTTTTTACATGGCGCTCAAAGCTAGCGAAGAATGCCCTTAAGGAATTAGACTTGTATTCCTCGTTGTCTTCTTTGTGCGAACCGCTATAAGGAACTCGCTGAGAAACTGGTTCAGCTCTCGAGGAGTCAGTGCATCCATTTGTCTCGTTTCGCCTTGCAAAACAAGAAATTCGTGGAACAGAGCAGCATCGTGTTTGGTCTTTTTCTTGTTGTTTTCATTTTCCTGTCCGTCTACGAATTCTTTTACTGATGAATCTAGGCTCTGAAAACAGTTAGTCTGATTTCAAGCCATCTTCCTGAATAAAATGCGCCTAAGCTCTTGGAAATGTGCTATTTGTCAGCCAAGAGGAGCGGTGAGCGAGCGACACGGTTTTGTTCACTAAAGAAAATAATGATATAGCCAATCAGAGCGTCGATACGTCGTTTTTCACCAGTGACAAAAAATCGTATGACCAATCAGATGGCTCCTCTAACTCGAAGATACTATTTTTGTCTCGATGCTTTTTGGCGCGTAAATCTCGGTATGTATATAATAAACATGGCTCTTTATTCATCGACAATTTACATTTACCATTTGTTGACGAATCTTTGACTAAGAAAAAAAATAAGGAAAAGGGTGGATTTCGATTTGATGTGTTGTTTTCCCTTCTTAGGTAAAGAACGTTAGTAAGATGCCGGGTCCTATCGGACCTCCTGGCTACAACGGAAGCCAGGGACCTGTTGGCCCTCAGGGAGCTGTGGGTCCCGCAGGTCCTAAAGGATCAGGAGACTTTGGTCAATGTCAGTTTGAAACAAATAGTGCAGATATGATCCCTGGTAGCAATAGAATACTTGTACATGTTGATGAACCAGCAGTAAGTACACCTATACTTTACATTTAAAAAATATGAATAAATAAATCAACAGATATAAAAGGGATTTCTAAATATCACCTGTCTTTACCCCTACGACATTTCTTACAATCTGAGAGTACGACTTCAATTACTAAGGGTCTTAAACCTAATATTTCTGAATCAAGCTCAATCAGGAGGATGTGAATGATCTTGCACAATTGCTTTTGTGAGGTGGAGAAATTCAAAAGAGTAATTTAGTGCCTGGCCTTTCTTATATTAGAAATTTTTAGTTAAAACACACACCTAGCTTAGCATCCTGTCGCTTAAGTGTACTTAAAAGAGTTTTTTTTATTTTATTTTTGAGATAAATGCATTTTTCGAATGATATAGATAATATTTCGAAAATGTTTGTTTTGATTGAACGCTGTTCGCTCGACCAAATGCACAATCGTATTCAAAGGGTCTGAATGGATTTTTCTTTATTCACGGGCTTTGCCTCCGTAAGGCTAACTCATCTTTTCCTTATAAATATATTATAAACTGTGATCTCATGATTTTTCTCGTGAAAAATTTGGAATAAACAAACATTCTAGACTTTTCAAAAGCCTACAAATTTTTGTTGGTTTATGGAAAAATTTCTCAAGCTTATCCATACAAAAAGACCCTTGCGATTGCCAGTATAGATAACATAACAAATGTGTATTCCTTTATTTGTTGACAGAATAAAAAGGTAATGGCAGTGACATGCTCAACGGATTACGGCTCTGAGTATAATCTTATATCGAGGGAACAAGCTAACGTCCGGAGATACGTTTGCACCTGTAATGGCAAATCCACACTTTTCAATGGAGGAAGTAGTTGCTACCTGCACTATTGGATTTGCCCTTTAACAACATAATTACCTTCATTTCTGAAACTTCGGCGCTGCACATATTTTTACTTGGATATAATTTGTATATTTAAATCTACTCGGCTTCATTTTGTACAATTGTGTAGGGAAGATGCAAAAAAGACAGAAAAATAGGAATCGGTGAAACTGAGAGTTACTTTATCTGGTGTGTAATTTGGTGGTCGATATCTTGGAATCCATCCCGGATGATATCTATGTATTTGAATCTTGCTTCATAAGCATAGTTGTCCAAATATGAATCGAAAAAGTTCAAAGTGTGATCCGAAATTTGTAGTTCGTAGCCTCGAAATGTTAATGTTCTCTTCACTTTTATTAGTTTCCTAAAAAAAAATTAATGAGGAAAATCGATGTAAATACATGATGACTGCGAAACGTTGGTGATAAATCTCTTTATTCCATCCATACTTTTAACAGAACGTTCCGCCCCAAGGAGATACAGTCTGAAGCAAATGATTCGTCTCACCTCTGTTCAAAACCTACAGCGCGGGTTATTCATATGAGGTCTAACCTAAAGCACGGTTTTAAGAAATCAATGGGCCTTTGGATTTCTCTATAAGATGGTTGATTTAACTAAATAAATGTTCCTCCAGGGTTAGCTTTCTCTTCTCTTGACACTGTTTACAAAAATAAATGGTCAAATTAAAGGTCCAGCTAAATTGAGGATTGTTTAGGACGCGGATTTATTACCCCTTTACACCCTAAAATCAGAATGCATATTCTCCATACTTTCTCTGTACATTTTTTAAGTATCTGTAAAGGAGAATATATTTAAAAATCAAGAGCTTCTTTAGTTGTTGATCATTTCCCTTATTCTCATGACCTTGATGTCTTATTCAAGGGTGATCTTGGGAGGAGAAATTAGGTGCCAGTCCCTCTCAGGGTCTAAAGGGTTAAACAACGAGTAAGCTTTGTTTACGTCATGCAAACACCAGTATTTATATTTTCACATTTTTATCCAAGTCTTACTACTGCTGATGGGAGGTATTATCCAAACCTCCTGACACTTTGGAATAAAAAATGGAAATCATTTTAAATCATTGCGTAAACTAAAACTTAGTTTTGCTTTGATTTCCTATCTCCGTTTTTTAGTAGGCATAACCTTAAATTTTTTTCCGACCACGCTCAGTGACCTAGATAATCCCTGTATTTCAAGGTTACTATTATCTAGGTCACCACGTGTGTGATTAGGATTCGCCTTTGCGATAATTCATCATCAAGGTTGTGAGATTCTTTTTCATTGACGCTAAAACAACATCAACAACAACAACAACACCAATGCCAACAACAAAACTGTTACAATTGTGGAAATCCCATAATAGAACTTTTATCCCAATTTAGGGGCTGCAAAGCGTTTTGAAACTTTTCTTCTGCATTTTTTATTCGTATATTTTCGGTGTGACTTCCTCCTTTTGAAACAAAAATGATATGCAAAAGTTGGGTTAATAGTGTGATTTTGCTGTTTCTGTTGTTCTCCGGGTCTTAATGTAGTAGTTAGAACAGAGAGAGAACTCGTCAACTCGTCTTAATAATAATAATAATAATACTCCATTTATATAGCGCCATTTCCAGCAATGTTCAATAGCGCTTTACAAAAATGTTTAAAATGTTACAGATATCACAAATATTGTTCATAAGAATATTTAAGAATTACATTCCACCGAAACGGCTAAAATATGAAACAACCAGTTAACAAAAACTTAAAATATAAAACTGAAATATCAAAGGGCTAATATATATAAAAACGACTAAAATAGAAAAGGAACAATTTCAAAACGCTTTCCTAAAAAGATTAGTCTTCACTTTTTTCTTGAAATCGTTCAGACTGGCACAAGATCTTATTCCTAGTGGCATGTCATTCCACAACTGTGGCGACACTACTGAAAAAGAACGAAAGCCATTGTTGCGCAGATTATATTTAACATCAAAGAGGCGATGGCCATTAGCAAATCTTAAGTTGCGCCTAGGAATATACCTCGTAACGAGGTCAGACAAATATGAAGGTGCTATGCCATTTAGACATTTAAAAGTCATCAAAAGAATTTTAAAAATTATGTGCTGTTCTGTAGGAAGCCAATGCAGTTCCTGTTCAAGTCCTAAATGTAATAACATTTGGTCCTAAATGTAATAAAGTCCTAAATGTAATAACATTTAGTCAAAAATGTAATAAGCCTCCAATGCTATCGTTTAACTCCTTCAGTGCATTGTTGTTATGGCGGACATCCACATTGAGATGTTAGTGGCAGCTGTTACACCAAAAAAACCGCTGACCAGTATAAATGTCACATTATGAGCTCGCTGATATCAATCAGCGTCTTTTTACTTGCTAGACATAAGAAATATCAGCAGTCGAAGTATGGTCCTTGAAGCGGTAAATTGATCGAGTTGAAGAAAATCATTTCCAGCCCAAAGTGGGCTTGTGCTTAGCTGGAAGCTCAATAGGATGGAATCGATTGTTACGTAAACATTAAGACTTCGTAACTTTTGGATAATGTTTGCATATACATAGAAAAAAATAAACGACCCTCTTGGGTTTATTGTGCTGCAAACACAGTTGGCTTTCACTATCGGATCTCGAAATAAACAGGCCATTCTTGATTCTTATCAAAGCGAAATCTTTTGCTATACAATGAGTCCTTTAATGATTAAGCCAAGAGAATATAAACTCTCTTGACCAAGCTTGTATGGTCATGATTACTGGATATAAGCCTCGTTCTTTTTCTACTTTTTTATGGACTGAGACGTCATCTCGTTATGCAGCCGCTCTGAATAACTAAAAAAAATGATTTCTATTGAAATGGACAATATCTTTAAGGTTACAGTAATTAAGTTGTTAAAGGGCAAATCCAATAGTGCAGGTAGCAACTACTTCCTCCATTGAAAAGTGTGGATTTGCCATTACAGGTGCAAACGTATCTCCGGACGTTAGCTTGTACCCTCGATATAAGATTATACTCAGAGCCGTAATCCGTTGAGCATGTCACTGCCATTATCTTTTTATTCTGTCAACAAATGAAGAAATACACATTTGTTATGTTATCTACACTGGTAATCGCAAGGGTCTTTTGGTTTGGATAAGCTCGAGCAAAGCCCGTGAATCAAGAATAATCCATTCAAACCTTGCGAATACGATTGTGCAATTGGTCGAGCGAACAGCGTTCAATCAAAACAAATATTTTCGAAATGTTGTCTATATTTTTCAAAAAATGCAACATGCGATGGTGGGTGTGCATTATAACTAACTAAAGCAATAAAAGGTACCTTCTTCACCTCACAAAAGCAATTGTGCAAGATCATTCAACATCCTCTTGATTGAATTTGATTCAGAAAGGTTAGGTTTAAGTCCCCTCGTAATTGAGGTCCTAGTCTTAGGTTGTAAGAAATTTCAAAGGGATAAAGACAATTATATTTAGAAATCCTTTTTTATCTGTTGATCTTTCTATTCATATTTTTTTAAAATGTAAAATATAGATCTACTTACTGTTGGTTCATCAATATGTACAAGTATTCTATTGTTACCAGGGATCATATCTGCACTTTTTGTTTTAAACTGACATTGACCAAAGTCTCCTGATCCTTTAGGACCTGCGGGACCCACAGCTCCCTGAGGGCCAACAGGTCCCTTGCTTCCGTTGTAGCCAGGAGGTCCGATAGGACCTGGCATCCTACTAACGTCCTTTACCTAGGAAGGAAAAATAACACATTACGTCCGAAGTCCCCTTTTTTCGGTTTTTCTTTGCCAAAGTCTCGTTGATAAATGGTAAATGTATATTGTTGATGAATAAAGAGCCATTTATATAAAAATATTATTAAACCATTTTATTCATTCTTAAGCAACAATTGCTGTCTAGAACCGAAAGGAACTGCTTGGCTGGAAGTGTGGTGAACAATTCGTGTCACCAACAGGAGAAACTTGAAATAAATTAACCTATGAAAGGCATTCCCTTGGTCGATCAAGCCACTGAAACAATCGAATTTAGCAATATTCATTTCTTATTTTTGACAGTTGAAGACATACGGTGCACTCGTTTTTGTCATTTATTCTCTAACATAATGCTGTCGTCATTGTTGATCTCAGCATATGGCCAGATCAGTAACTACTTCTCTTTACTTCATTTGTTAGAGCATAAGATCTTGTAAAGGCATGACTTGTGGCTCGAATGTCTACGAAGAGTTCTTCCTCACTCCACGCTTGGAAAATTGTTTATAGCATCTTTCTGATCATAGTAATTAAATATTCCTCATTTAATGTATTGATTAATCTAATCTGATTGACACACTGTGTTTTTGGGGAAGGGGGCTGGGCCAAGCTCTCGTAGACATAGTGGAGACTTTCGTATTCGTTATAGTCGTGTTTCTCCATCTACTATCTACGTTTTTCGAGGCATGAGTGTACTCGGTGATAAAGCCGCTTTTCGTCGTTAAATTCTAGTGTCAATCAAACTTGGTTTGCAATGTGTTCTCAATCAATAATATTAGAGTAATACTATGTATAATAGCCCTCACGTGGAGAGGTCAAAGTTAGGTTCATCCAGTCTTAAATGCAAGTAACACAGATAATGTACCTGTTCAGTCAAGTTGTCTTGCACTTCCTTTAGCTGTCTAACAATATTACCGCGCGTTACATTCAAAACCATGCTTATACTTTGAAGATCCATTTTGGTAGAGTTTCCTGTCAACCATAGCGCGGTGAAATACTTTTTGGACTCTTCTTTCATGTTTTTACGAGTAAGATTGAGTAATTCCTCGATTTGCTGAATCCTGTTATGGTGTTGATCCTTCGGAAAATAAAAAAAATAATGTTGATGGCGAAAAAAATATTTCAGGTGCACATTTTTTACTCTTATACACAATAATAGTCTTTTTACCTTTTTACAAAATTGGGAACACACGATGAAAAAGATGAAGATATTCATTACTCACCGTAACCTGCTTTGTGTTATTTGATTTGTTTTCCTCAATTTCTATTCTGGTCTCAAGTTTCTCAGTTTCTTTTGTTACTTGAGTTGTAAAAAAAGAAAGCTTTCATATGAGTGAATAAATAAATAAATAAAGTCAACTGACTTGGTCACACAGTTTGTAAAGTCTTGGATTTAAGAATTGAGCAATTACGGATTGATGTAATGGATATTGAACGCCTAAGCTAAAACCAAAACCAAACTTGAAATTATGGGCTCCCTAAGTGACGCAACAATGACATACTTTGAAGATCAAGGAGCATGAACCTGTTCTTAGCAGCAATGGGGATTGGCAACATTGGGCACATAAGTAGATTGAGCAGATCATTTATGCTGACTGGCTAAGTTTTTTTTGGAACTGATATTTTATCTTTAAATCGCGCTGAATGATAGGCTCAGAAAAAGTTGAAAAAGCAGAGTGTTTCAGTAGGATTAATAAGTAAGCTCAGGAATCCAATGGATTCCTGTACACTTTGTCATATGATGGCCTATGATCTTAAACCATTAAACAAACAACAGCAAACAAGGCACCTTTTTCAGTCATGTTTCCATGCATTTTCTTAAACTGTGTCAAAAGAATCGTCTGCGTTGAGTCCACCAACATGCGAACTCTAACAAGTTCCGTCACTGTGGAATTTTGAGCCAGTTCCAAAGCCGTGGATTGTTCTCGAGACATATTCCTCATATCTTCGCGAGTGTCATTCAGCATATCGGTCAAGTGCTGGATCAACTTGGAGTGGTGATCCTTCAGAAAAAAGATGATTTTGTGTTAGGTATTGCACAGACTTACACTCATGTCACCGACACCTCCAATTGACATGTGAAAAGTCCGCATTTGGTGACTTACCGAACTTTTTGTAATGTAGCTAGATTTTTCTTCCTCCATTTTAACTCTTAGTTCAAGTTTTCCAAAAATATTTGTTATCTAATGAAGAAATGATATGGTATTAAATATTTATACAGGAATTTTGGCGTAATAGCAAATTAACGAAGTTGCACAGATTTATATGTATATTCAAAGGTAGAGAGGGAAGGCTAATGATAAGAGCCTTACTACCAATATAATCCCAAATCTTTTGAAAGAGGGACTCATTAGGAAAATGAGGAAATCTCTCTTTGTGATCATGATTTGAACAAATGGAGGGATTATTTATATACATATTGCAAATGCGTATGCTTACGTTTTTCCTGTGTGATTCCAATGAAGAAGATAAATAGCCACCACGGGCAACTGTTTCATTCAGCTTGAGTGAAACAACTTTAATTTCACTGTTGACCTATAAATTCAAAATATCAATTTATTCAAGTTCTCAAAATGTTTTTAAATTGAATAAAATTGGGTTGAAAGATGCATTAAATTAACATTACCTTAGTCGTGAGGGTCTGGCGACTCATACAGAAGTCAAATCTGGCGAAAACCAGGATATTCAGTCTGAAAAACCTTGATTTGGGTAGATTTATCGATTATTCGTTTCGGCCCTGAATAGAACACACCTGCCCCAAGGGTAGAGGGTAAAGATGAATTCTTCCGGCTTTCTCCAAGAAAAACAACAACCACAATAACAGCAACAACCACGATTCACCGGATTACTACCTTATTTTCGAAATCTTGCAGAGATGAGTTCGTTTTATTTAACAAACTTCCTTCTGTCTGCTTTACAGCTTGCCAAATGCCTTTAAACTCCTGATCAACCTGAAATGAAATGGCTTTCTCAGGAATAAAGCTTGCACACTGTTTTCGTACCTTCTCTTAGTATTTTAGTCCCCTATTTTAAAATGTCAGATCGCACTTTAATCGTTCTCCAACCACTACTGACATTCAACTGGCTTTCGAGTTAGAGTCATGTTGGCTCTGAGTCGCCCTTCACACTTGAGCTACGAAGTTGGGAGCCGAGCACATTTTAAAGGTTTCTTCTAAAACCTGTGCCTAGGCTTCGTTTCTGCAATTGCTAAAATTGCTTCTCATCTGCGAGGATCATGGCTTTATTTGATGTCAATCGGCTGGAGAAAAGAAAGTTATTTAGTTGCAAATTACATTACAAGTGTGCACGGGAAGAAGAATCTTCTAAGTTTGTTTCCACCCAACGGGTAGTTTTGCACCTCAGTTTGTAGTTGTGTACGACGAGTATCTGGGAGGCACTGGTTCAAATCCCGTCGAAGCCTGAATTTTTTTTCCGGTTTCTTTACTAAAATTGCTGAAATTATAGCTCACCTGCGGGTATCATGGCTTAATCTAATGAGAAGTAGAATTTTTTTAAATCTTAAACTACTAGACACTTGAATCATGCATTCTTATAGAAGTGTTCTGCGAATTTTTCAAAATTCTAGCTATTTTGTTTCTGGTTAAAACACCAGCTGCCTGAGATTACCAAAGATGACGTGCTTTCTGAAGTTTTTTATTTTATTTGTCCTTTACATGACAATATACACTCAATGTATTCAATATTATAATTTTTTGCGATAACAATTTTCGAATGGAAAAAAAACGCGTTTTTTGGACAAACTTCTGCAAAGTGGAAATTGAAAGAAAACGAGCAGATGCAACAGCAACCAAACAGCGAAAAAACAAAATAACTGTGTCTGTGAGTAGAACAGATGTACCCTTTAGGGATTCTCGAGAAATAGCGTCAAAGATCTCTTACCGTCCTAAAATTCTAACGATTATTTAAATTCATTTTATTGCCTTCCGATCCAGTTTAAGGATTTGTTTATGAAAATCAAAAACTCTCATGTTTACAGTCCATTAAGGATGAGCCAGAATTCTGCTGTATTTTCGCCTTCAAAACAGGTATCGAATAACACAAAACAAATAATTGTCTATATTTGTATGTAACATTTTGTAGACGGACAAATACGGCGGTTTCTTCCTTTGGAAAGAAAGTCGATAATTCCTTTGAACGAATTCCCTCCATACTCAGATAGAATAAAGAAATAATAATAAACATGCCAATAGAACAATAAGGAATAATCCATAATTAATAAATAAATCAGTCAGTGAATATCATTATGAATTATTTGCATTCAAAATTACTGAGACTTACCTTTTTTTTCGTAATTTCCAACTCTCTCTTTACCTGCAAAGGAAATAAAAACTGACATTAACTGGTGAAGACTAATTAATTATCCCACAATTTCAAAGCCACGCAGAAAGAGTTTCTCTTTTCAAATTGCAATGAAGGGAGATATATGCAGTTGCCAAGCACTCAGTGGAAAACTTACGTCAGCTAGTGCAGCATCCAGTTCCCTTAACTTTTTTGAGACCTGCTGCACCAAAAAATGGATTAGTGTTCACGATTAAGTTATCTCTTTGGTGGTTAGTTGTTTAGTGTTTTCCATTTCGCTCTCTTATGCTTCAAGGCCACATGTACACTTCTTGGCATACTCGATGCAAATCAGAGATAATACAGCAATAATGATAGAAATGACAATGACGTTGGAGCTGATGATGACAATTTACGATGGTGATAAAAGCAAAAAAAATAGCCAGATAACTCTTGGTTCTTTTATATTTTAAGACATCAACATTTTATTTTCTCATGCAGTTTTATTCGTAAACATACGGATTTACTCCTTATTTTGATCAATTTGTCTTGGCAGCAATAAAAAATGAGAGGAAATGAAATAAAGCAAGAGAAAACCAAGATAAACTTAAAAAGAAAAATGCATGGTTACATACTAGTTTGTGAAAGAAGTGGTTGTCTCAATGACTTTGAGACCACCATAAATACATTTTTAAGGTTGATAAAAATACAAAAATTTTTTTTCCTACCGAGGATTCTGTCAGAGCAGAGATGTTTTTTTTCAACTCTTGTAGATTTTTGCTAATTTCTGACATTTCTAAATTGAAAAATAAACGAACAAATAAAAAAATTCAATTAATTAATGAATATTTGCATATATATTGAACAAATAGACTTTATTTAGCCGTGTGCGTGTTATGTAGCATATCCCCATTCATTCTTGTTTCAATTATAATGATAAATAGATAAATATAAAAATGAGTAAACAAGATGAGCTTGGTTTGCAGTCACAGATAGATTAAAGGTATGTAAAACTTAACGCCTTCGCTCACATGGCGTGACTCGGACAGTGAAAGCGCACTTTATTTCTGAAGCTTTTATGCTTGAATGCCCTTTGAACTGAAGACTTCGGGAATTTAACAACACCGCATTATCATGGTATATTAACTCTTCCCACCTCGAAATGATCAATATGAGTTTTTGCTTACCACAAAAAGACGCAATGGAGTCTCTAGTTGTCGAAACATCACTTCGGGAATCGGTTTTTGCAAAGGCTAAAACCATGGTGGCAGCGGCTGTCAAGAAGGAAGCAACAGCAATGGCAGTCACAGCAACAAGGAAGTAGCGAGATTTTACTTCTCCTGAAACTTTATACGGCTGTATTATCTCTCTTAGTCGTTCTTGGGGACTTTCATTTTTAACAATTACTTTTTCATAGGTTTCAGCGTCGTCTTCTCCTTTGTATTCCATCTCGTAATAAACATTTTCCCGTCCAATTTCGGTTTTGGTACTCATAAGCTCGCTCATAGTGTATGAATCTTTTGGAGAGAGATTACCCTCGTGCTTTTACGATCATGAAGGTGTGCAATCTTACGATAGCCAGTACAGTGACCAAGAAAAGATCGCTGTAATGTTTAGACAACACTGGCCTAAAAAGCCTTGTGATTCGTGGTTAAAACATGTCTGATCACGTATGTCCTCGAGGCCGAATCATGTGAAGTATAAGTCATTAAAGAAGGCGACTTGAGCGGTGATTATAGAAAATTTAGTATTAATCCTCGTGAGACTTTGCCGCCAGAATACCTTGATGAAAAGGAATTGGTTTTATGTTTCTACGTTTCCTGACCTTTGGGGTACTCCTTTCATCAGTCGGAACGCATAGTTTTGGTGTTTAAAATGTAGATAGTTCAAGTCATTTTAATGTTAGAGATGTTTTTGAAGGAGAAACACTTATCTGGAATAAGCAATATTGTTTGAATAACAAGTGAATTGATCTTTATTAACGATATATATCCTCGTGGGTTCCAGTTTCCTTTTTCTCGTTTGTTTTTCCATCTCCATCCTCTTTTTTCAGTCTAATTTCCGAATTGTTATTTATGACCTTGTTCATAACGCATTTAGCTTTAAGAATGAGATTACCCTCAAGCGGCTTTGATCATCACGATTTGCAATCTATATAAAAAAAAAATATGCGACAATAGAGATGCAAAACTGTATTTTTTTTCCAGTCTATTGGATGAATAAATGTGACAAAGAAAATAAAGCTTTCATGTCTCGTGACTCCTGCTCTTAACATGTCTGATCACAAATTTTTCTTTAATACTCATTCACATTAAATATTACTGTCTGATTTCCGTCTTGTTTTCCAAAAGCTCGCTCTAATGCATGTAACTTTTAGAAAAATATTGCGCCCAAATGTTTCTCCGCTATCTGCATAAACTTCATACGACTGCACTTGAAATCTTTAGAATCTTTACCAAAGATTGAGATTAAAAGAATATTCACTTCGATAGACATCGGTTATCTTATTTTGAAATATTTAAAATTGTATAGAAACGATTTTAAAATCTATTACAGAATTCACAGACGTGATTGGTTATTACCAGCTCTATTTGGGCTGTAACAGAAAAGTAGACATTGTGCCCGTCATGCCAGTATTATTAGACAATACGTACGCGTCATGTGCGCGCGCTGTTGTCACCGAGTTAACGATTGTTCATTTATCTTTTATATATATAAAAATGTAAAACCGATGGCTAGTTTGTTTCTCAAAGTTCATCATAGTTTTATAAATTGGTAACATGACCTCAATAATAGAGGAGATAATAAAAATAATAACGATTTTTATTAAAATAATGATAATAAGCCGCTTCATGGCTGGTTCATTTGTCCGATTTCTATTTAAATCTTGTAAAAAATTACAAACTTACTCTTCCGCTGCGCTCAACACTTAGCCGCGAGTCTTCACAACATATCATGCAGGAAATGACTTTTATTTGGGGGATGCCTTGATAAAAAGTGACATTCGCCGATCCGTTGCTATGATCTGCTTCCTGAACCGGGTAAATCAGCATAATTTTCTTTGTGTGCGTAATTAAAAGGCTATTAGAGTAAAATTAGACCGCTCGACAAAAATTTCTGCTCAACCAAATGGCGCCAAAAGGTTTTAGGTTAAAACAAAACTACGAGGCACAACCGATTGACATTTTAAAGGGAAAAATTCCACTTGATACGTCACCCGGCAAATTTCAAGTCCTTTTAAGTACTGAACACGAGATCGATCGCGTACCTCTTTCAAACAAAACAAGAGAAACTTTAATTTTAGTTCTTCAAGCAAAGGCGTACGAGAATTCTTACATTTATGGTAAAATGTGTCTTATTCACATTTTATGTGAAATTGAAATATGCAGAGGGTCCAACAGACGGCACTTACTCAAGCCACATCTTTCTCAGGGTAGAATTTCGATTTGGCATTTACAATAAAAGTTTTGAGGTGGCAAAGAAAAGACAGCTAAACGTTACCACGTCCGCTCTCTGATTCACCGCATTAACGGCATTAATCGTTATGTCATGCCTACAGACATTAGTCTTCAGTTGCGTAATCATGACGTCATGCTTACAGACATGTAATAGTAGTTTAATACCTACAGACAATCGTTTTTATTAGCATGCAATTATTTCAATTATTGGGTTCACTTCACTTTTGTTCACTTCTAATTCTTATTTCACCATAACACTAGCCGATATTTTTTTTTATCCAACGATGATGCACCTTAGCACACCTCAGACAGTTGAACCAATGTGGGAAGAATTTCAATATTTTGTCCTTTTTACTTTATCACGATGATTTGCCCAATTTGCTACATATTCAGTCTAATTAAATGATTCTTCTCTCAGCGTTATGCAGCCTCTCTGAAAAACTAAAAAACATTATTTGTATTGAAATTGACGATATCTTTATAGTACATTAATTACGTTGTTAAGGGGCAAATCCAATAGTTTAGGTAGCAGCTAGTTCCTCCACTGAAAAGTGTGGATTTTCCATTACAGGTGCAAACGTATCTCCGGACGCCACCTTGTGTCCTCGACATAAGGTTATACTCAGTGCCGTAATCCGTTGAGCATGTTACTGCCATTATTCTTTTATTCTGGCAACAAATAAAGAAATACACGTTTGTTATGTTATCTATACTGACAATCACATCATTACAAAGGTCTTTTAGTTTGGATAAGCTCGAATAATTTTTTCCACGAACCATTGCTTGTTCATTCCAAATTTGCAGGAGAAAAATATTGAGATTACAATTGATAATATACATAAAGAAAAGATGAGTCAGCTTTTTAATTTTACAGAGGCAGAGCTCGTGAATCAAGGAAAATCCATTCAAACCCTGCAAATACGATTGTGTATTTGGTCATGCAAATGCACAATCAAAACAAACACTTTCGAAATGATGTCTATATTATTGGAAAATTGCATTTATCTCAGCCAGTTAAATTAAAGAAATTCTTCTAAGTACACCAAAGTGACAGGATGCGAAGGTGGGTGTGCATTATAACTATAACGTCTGGCCTTAAGAAAGGCTAGGCTCTACCTCATTTTTTTGTATTTCTTCACCTCACAATAGCAATTGTGCAAGATCATTTAACATCCTCCTGATTGGGCTTGATTCAGAAATGTTAGGTTTATGTCCCCTAGTGATTGAGGTCGTAGTCTTAGATTGTAGGGAAATGTCAAAGGGGTAAAGACATGTTACATTTAGAAATCCCTTTTTATCTGTTCATTTATCTATTCGTATTTTTAAAATGTAAAGTATAGATGTACTTACTGATGGTTCATCAATATGTACAAGTATTCTATTGCTACCAGGGATCATAGATGCACTTTTTATTTCAAACTGACATTGACTGAAGTCTGATGATCCACTACGACTCGCAGGTCCTTCACTTCCGTTGTAGCCCGGAGGTCCGATAGGACCAGGCACCTTACTAACGTTGTTTACCTAAAAAATAAAAATAACACGTTGCAACTACTTTACTTCGTCAGAGTCTTGTTATTAAATAGCAAATGTACGGTTGATGTATAAAGGTTTATCAACAATGTTATACATATAATTGCACCATAAAATATATTTAAGCAACAGTTGCATTATAGAACTTTATAAGCAAAAATTCAGGTATTTTTTCTGAAATTGCTGAAACTATAGCTCACTTGCAGGTATCATTGCTTAATCTGACGAAGAATAACATTTTTAAAATCTTAAACTACGTATTGAACACGTGAGTCATATATACTCGCAAACATTCTTATATAGCATCTACTTTTTTTTTCAAAGTTTTAGCTATTTTTCTTCTAGCTTAAACAGCAGCTGCCTGAGATTACCCAATATAGCGTGCTTACTTTTGTACTAAAGTTTTGATTCTAATTGCCTGTATTTCAGGCTTATTAGATTCCATTTTGTTAACTTCTGATCCAGCTTAACGATTTGTTTTTGAATATCGAAAACCTTCTCAAGCACAGTTCCATCCAGGGTGAACCACAACTCTAATGTATTTTCCCCCTAACAACAGATATCGAGTAACACATCAACTTTTCAAGACAATGATTTTCTATACCTGAATGTAACAAACAAAACAAGCAGCTGCAACAGCGACAAAACAACAACAACAACAACAACAAAATTACAGTGTCCATGAGTAGAACAGGTGATCCATTTAGGCAGTCATTTTAACGATTAATAATTGTTTTTCCAGTTCAACAATTTGTTTTTGAAAATTCAAAAATTTCTTCTCATGCACCTTTAGACGAACCCCCTCCTTACTCAAAAATGATAAAAAAATAATGATAAAAAAAGGCCAACAGAAACAATAATCCTTAGTCAATAAATAAATCAGTCAATGAATATCATTATGAACTATTTGCAAATGAAATTTGCTGTTAATTCAGAGTGACTGAGACTTACTTTTTTTTTCATAATTTCCAACTCCTTTTTCATCTACAAAAGAAATAAGAACTGAGATTAACCAATGAAAACTTTTAAATCATCCCACAATTTCAAAGCCACGCAGAAAGAGTGTTCCTTTTTTAATTTAAAGAGGTCTTAAGATATTTAAGCAGTTGCCAAGCACTCAGTGGAAAACTTACGTTAGCTAATGCAACGTCCAATTCCCTTAACTTCTTTGAGACCTATTGCACCAAAAAAATTGAACAGTGTTCACGATTAAGTTATCTCTTCGGTGTTTAGTTCTTTAGTTGTTTCTCTTATGTTACAAGGCCACATGTACACTTCTTGGCATGCTTGATGCAAATAAGAGATAATATAACAATAATGATAGTAGGAAATGGCAATAACGTTGAGGCTGATGATGACAATTTACGATAGCGATAAAAACTGAAACTTTTACATCTTAAGACATCCACATTATAATTTCTCACGTAGTTTATTCCCAAATGTACGAATTTTCTCCATAATTTTGAGTCAAAGTTTCTTGACAGAAATGAAATTATGAGGGAAGGAAAAGGAAGGAATAGAAATGAAATAAAGTAAGAGTAAGACGAAATAAACTTAAAAGGAAAAACGCATGGTGACATGACAGTTTGTGAAAGAAGTGGTTGTCCCGATAGATTTGAAAACGCCATAAATATATTTTCAAGGTTAATAAAGATAAAAAAAACTTTTTTTCCTACCGAGGATTCTCTAGGAGCCGAGAAGTTATTTTTCAACTCTTGTAGATTTTTGTTAATTTCTGACATTTCTGAAGTGAAAAATGGATAAGTAAATAAATAAATTAATTAATTAATCAACGTTAAAGCTGATGATGTTTTCATCCTGGTTTATTGGCCTCAAGTGAAATTTTGCAAGCACGTAGCTCTTACAATAGTTGAGTTTACTTATACACTTAAACGTTGCAAAGGGTTCATTGATGAGCAAATTATTATCTGCTGGCTACATGGCCACAAAGGACTAACGAGTCTTACAACAGCACATAGGTCTTGCAGCAATGACATTGGCTCCTAGATCTGCCCAAAATTCCTAAAGTAGTCAGAGTCAATAAGATTGGTTACTTTGAAGTTACTTGGGAGGAGTGTTTTTTCAATTAATACCATAATTTTAAATTGATATCATAAGCTCGAAAATTTTGGCAATCAATTGGTATTGTGTGAATAGTACAATTGTGCCTCCAACACTATTTAGGGGGTGGTTGTGATAGTAATCACTGCTGCGTAATGGAACTTTTACTCGATCGTACAAACTATTTGAATTGTTTTTTCAACTGACTTTTTGTATGTCAAAATTGTAAGCGCTGGGCCGCGGCGTTTCTTCAATTTTTTGTCATGCGAAAGCGAAACTGCCACGTGAACACTGGACTTCTACGTCTTGCCGACGGAAAATATCGGCGAGCAACAGTAGCCACACCTGCTTTACGCAAGAAGTGATCGGCAGCAGCCCGGGCAAAGTGGAAAACAAACCTAGGGAGTCGCGAGGAATACCTGGTCGCAATTTCCGGTGTCGGTGATTTACTCCTTTGTTTTTGAAACGGATGAAATCGATATTTGCGCTTTCCCATTTTGCAAGTACAGCAGTGTTTTTGGTCGATTCAAGAACATGGATCGTTCACTGAAGATCTTATACAGTAAAGGTATCAGCCTTAAAATTGCGATAACGCTTGTGAATTCTATATGCAACTAAGTTAAGGGCTAAGAACCGGAAATTCCGTGATCTCGTTTGATAAGATCAATGACAAAGGGAAGATAGATAAATTAAGTAATAACATATTGTATACACAAAGGGAAACGTGAAGCAACTGATGGTGCAAAAGTTGGACTGAGGATCGTAAACACGATATTTTCAATAAAAATTAAAGTCCAGTGTTTACATGGCAGTTTCGCTTTCGCATGACAAAAAAATAAAGAGACGCCGCGGCCCAGTGCTAAAATTTTGTCATACAAAAAGTCATTCAAAAAACCGATTAAAATAATTTGTACGATCGAGTAAAAGCTCCATTAACCAGTAGTGTTCACTATTACAACCATCTCTCACCCCTCCCTGCGTAGTAAAGTTCGTCTCTCACCCCTCCCTGCGTAATAACACTCTGCCTCCCACCCCTCCCTTAGTGCTGATATAGACTGCATCCCACACCTCCCTGAGAACTAGTGGTGTGCTTCCCCCGCCCCTATAAAATGGTCCAAAAAAAATAGTCCAGTCCATATTTTAACCTATGCCCTTCCCTCATGTGGCTTGATTCGACGTCAATTAAAATTGTCAGCGCACTTCAGTTCTAGGGAAATATGCCTTATATGCTCTGTTTTCTGAATTACACAAAATATATGGAGGCCCTGACAGACAACATTTTATAAAAATAACCACATTTCAACTCAAGGAGACTTGGCATACAAAAGAATCGTTTGAGTTTGATCACTTTGTTGACTCTAAAGTCGCCTTGGCAACCGGAAGCTTTTATATTTAAATACCCTATGAACTAAAGAGTGTTTCGGGAAATTAATTTTTTTCTTGAGTGACATCGCATTATCATGGTACATGGACTCCATCCACTTCGAAATGATTAGTATGATTTTTTGCTTACCGCAACAAGACTCTCTAGTTGTCGAAACATCGCTTCGTGAATTGGTCATTGCAAAGGCTAAAACCATGGTGGCAGCGGCTGTCAAGAGGGAAGCAATAGCAATGGCAGTCCCAACAAAAAGGAAGTAGCGAGATTTTACTTCTCCTGAATCTTTATACGGTTGTGCTCTCTCTCTTAGTCGTTCCTGGGGACTTTCATTTTTAACAATTACTTTTTCATAGGTTCCATCTTCGTTTTCTCCTTTGTATTCCATCTCGTAATAAACATTTTCCTGTCCAATTTCGGTTTTGTTATTCGTAAGCTCGCTCATTGTGTATGAATCTTTTGGAGAGAGATTATCCTCGAACTTTTACGATCACGAAGGTGTCCAATCTTCCGATAGCCAGTACAGTGACCAAGAAAAGATAGCTGTAATGTTTAGACCACACCGTCCTAAACAGCCTGGTGATTCGCGCTTAAAACATGTCCGATCACGTATGTCCTCCAGGCCGAATCATGTGAAATATAAGTCATTTAAGAAGGCGACCTGAGTGGTGTCTAAAGAAACTTTAGTATTAATCCTCGTGAGACTTTGCCGCCAGAATACCTTGATGAAAAGGAATTGGTTTTATGTTTCTACATTTCCTGACCTTTGGGGTACTCCTTTCATCAGTCGGAGCGCATAGCTTTGGTGTTTAAGATGTAAATAGTTCAAGTCATTTTCATTAATGTTAGAGATGTTTTTCAAGGAGAAACACTTATCTGGAATAGGTAATACTGGTCAAGAATTTTCTCCAGATCTGTGTTTAAACAAAAGTGGAATTGATCTTTATTAAGGATACATCCTCGTGGGTTCCAGTTTCCTTTTTCTTGTTTGTTTTTCCATCTCCATCTTTGTTTTCTAGTCTAATTTCCGTGTTGTTATTTATGACCTTGTTCATAACGTATTTAAGAATGGCTTTGATCATCACGATTTGCAATCTTGCGACTGAGAAGATACATAACTGTATTTTTTTTTCAGTCTACAGGATGTAATTAATATGACAAAGAAAATATAGCTTTCATGTGTCTCGTGACTCCTGCTCAAAACATGTCTGATCACATATATTCCTTAATACTTACTCACGTTAAATATTACTCTGAACGCGAGATCGATCACGTACCTCTTTCAAACAAAACAAGAGAAACTTTAATCTTATTCATCAACAAAAGGCGCGCGAGAATTTTTACATTTATGGTAAAATATGATTTATTCACTGACGACACTTACACAACCCAAATCCTTATCAGGGTATAATTTCGATTTGGCACTTAGAATAAACGCTTTGATTCAATAAAATTTGTTATTCCTCGATCTACAAGGAGAAAGGTTCATCCTAGACCCTTGTGATAAAAATAATTTTTAAGGGAAATCAAGTGAGAAAAGTGATCATTTCTGAACTCAAGTGATTTACACTGGGATAGATGCCTCGCGCCTTTTCCTGAATTTGATTTCCCGGAAGAAAGAGAAAAATCACGCGCAGATGTCTATCTCCAAATCGACTCAGGAATATCGGAGAAAAAACCAGAAGATCCTTATTTTTTGTTCATATGGGACTAATTAGCAATAATAGTTACTTCACATTAATAATTTCCATTTTTAGGATGTCCACTTTTAATTTTCACTTAACACATAAAAGCACTATGGAGTGTTAAGTTGTCGAAGGATTGCTTCGTTCCAGCATCATCGCTAAGACCAAAGTGGCAACAGTTGTCAGGAAGGAAGCCGCAGCAATGACAGTCACAGCAACGGAAAGACAGCGAAACTTTATCATATGTGCTCTCCGATTCTGGCATTGCCAAAGGAGCTTCATTTCTAACCCTCAAATTGTCGCAGGCTCCAGCTGTATTCCATGTTGAAGTAGAGGTTCTCCTGCCCAACTTCGGTCATGTTATCAATAATTTCGTTGGGAATGTCTAGAGGTATTTATTTGAATTTTATAACTTCATGAAACTGTGCCACCAGAGGAGAGAATCTGCTGTAGGATGTCACGCGGTACAGAAAAAATAAATAAAAAAATACTTGATTTAAGTCTCTAATTACTTGGGGTTGTTTTCATAGATTGTAGGAATTGTCGAAGAGGTAAAGACATGTCATACTTAGAAATCCCTTCCTTCATCTATTTCATTTATTTATCTTTTTATCTCTTTAGTTATCTATCCACTTTTTTTCCAAATGAAAAGTATAGATGTACCAACCGTCGGTTCATCAATATGTACAAGTAGCGTGCTGGTACCAGGGGTGTTTCTTCACCCTTTGATTTAAAATGAAAGCTCTTAAGTTTCCTGATCCCTTAAGTCCTGGAGGACTTACTGACCCGGGGAAGCCAGGAGGCCCAATATGTTCAGCCGTCTTGATGGCTAAGGTAATAAACTTATTATGTTAAAAGCATACACCCCTCTGTCATTCCCACTCCATCTGTTACCAATATTTGTCAATACTACGAATTAAGATGAAAAACTAAGAAAGGCAAAGTTTGTTCTCGTGAACTAGGAGCATTGCAATACGGCCTCTGATGCTTCCTTACAATTAGCTCCAAAAAAAACTTCTAGCCAAGGCAATGACTGGTAATATCTTGACCTTATTCATTCATAGGTAGTGTGATTGTTTTGTTGAAAGAAATGTATTTTTATTTGATAACATTTTGTATTCTTAACTTTCATAAAAAAGATTTTGAAAATAAAACAATGAATAACAATAATAGTAATAATAATAAAAACAACAGCAACAAAGACATTGTGTCAAGATTGAATCATTCTGCGTCACACAATCCTGTTACGGCTATAATCAGTATTCCTCATCGCTAAGGAAACAATGGTGGGCCAATATGCTGCCATGTTTTTTTTCTTTTATGAGCAATGTAGCAGTCATATCAAACAAATATCTCAGGTAGACTTATTTATGGTGTTTGTATGTTTGAAATAAATTAACATGGCGATTACCAGTACTTGGATGAGTGAAGTGACGTTTCCCGTCGGGCATTTCGATTTCACTGGTCATAAGAAATATAAATGCAATATAAGTAAAAAAACTCTTGATTTTTAAGATTTAACTTTTTAGTCAATTTCTGAACACTCTCTGACACTATTTTTTAAACGCATTTGCACTATTCACTGCATGCCCTCATAATAAAACGCATCGATTTATCCATAAATCTAGTATCCAAATCTGGTTCCCACAAGGGGAGAATTTCCTCTTGTTCCTCTTCTGGTTGATTTCAAGATTCCATTCATAATTCTCCTCACTATTTGCCATACAATTCTTACGGTGATGGTTCCGAGAATTTCGTATTGGATCAACTAGGAATCCCCTAATTGCCTTTATATTTGTCTTGATTCTCGCCACTTTTCTGTTTGATATTATAGTCATATTGTAAGTAAAACTTCTATCCTGGTCACTCGCTTTGAGTTAAAGGGTTAGTAGGAAAACGTTAGAAAAATGATTGCGTTACTGAACATAGGCTGCCTTGAAAAGAAACTCAAATAATGACCCTATTCATGGAATAAATAAAGCTCATGAACATACTCAAAATATCTCCTACAGCTATAATTTTACCACCTAAAGAATCTTTTAATTTCTGACGTGAAATTGATGTTTTACTGGCTCTAGTACTTCCGAAAAACTTATAGCCTGGATGCAGTGCACCTTCTAATCCTTCGGGAATATAATTAGCAAGAAGCATTTGTCATTTGGCCCAAATGACAAATGCTTCAGTAACCCCCCCCAGTGCGCCGACAATATTCGAAGTCGAACAGACTCTAGTAATCACCAACACCGCTAACATATACAAAGCGATGGCAATTGGCAGCAAAGTAAAAGAAAAGGCGACTAAAACCAGTATTATTCGACGCTGAATCACGCAGACATGGCTGGCGACTCCAGTTTCGTGGTCGCATCGAGCAGGTATCGTTGGCACTGATCCTTTCCATTGTCGTCGCATTCATTATCAAAAATAATTTCCTCAGATCTACTTTTAAAAACTTCCATTTAGATTCACCCAGATTTTCTCCTACTTTTGAAATGAAATGAGTTATGTATTAGTCAGATCTAAAGCTGATATTGTAAGCATTCGTTTGCAAAGCAATCCGCCGCTGAGATCTATTAAATTTACAGGCGATACGATACTTGTGGCTTTTTCTTAAATTGAATTTTCGAGTCTTAATTAAGGTGAATTTTTTTAATGCCTTGACTAAAAATAAGCCTTCGAAGGAACATAGCCTCATGATCCCTTCTTTCCCTTATAATCAATCTTGACCGTCTTAGACTTTTTAGGAGAGATACATTACGTTTGACAACTTGGTTTACCGCGTTTCAAGCGTGGGAAAAAGTAATTTTGTCAATTAACTGCTTGAATCCTGCTCAGGACAAAGGATGCATCACAACTTCCTAACGACTCATTTTACATGGGAAGTGTTAATAAAGATAATTGGACAGGAAGTCATTAGTGGGTATAATCGTGATAATTAAAGCTCACGCGAGTGGACTGCACCAAGAAAAAGAAAAAAAGAAAATAACTTTAGGGGCATTTATTCCCGCGAATTCTAACATTAAAGCGCTTTCAGAAGTTAAAGACCGTTGACGATAAAATGCCATCAATTATTTCGCTTCCTGATAGACCAGATCCACAAAAACAGGTCAACTGTCTAGGTCAACTTGGAAATTCTTGAGACCAGACATTGCATACAGCTGTCGGTTAACCTCAATTCGAGGTGATAAGGCGTAAACCTAAATCAACAGTTGGCAAGATTGCAGGAATTATAGTCTCTTCTCTCTCAAAATAATTTGGCTGACCTTTTTTCTTAAAGGAAAAATTACTAATTCATATGCTATAAAGGTAATTATAAATTCTGGTATCCAAAGCACCTTACCGTCCCTGACTTCCTCTAATCAAGATATGCATGTCATTTCTTAGACCTCTTAGGTGTTTAGCACTAATGTTATCTCGAAAAGAACAGCAACAAAAAGGGATTTACATAATTGTTTCTGTAACACAGAAACTTTTAGTTAGTTGTATTCAAATGTGGCAATATAATAACAACAGAAGTTTGATACTCTCATTCAATTTTTGGCTCCAAAATGATCCTGCACGATGCTTCGTGCCCTTTGCCATTTCTTGGCTATTATAGTCATTTAGGCAGGGTGAAATCTTTCTTTAAGAGGAGAGGATCCAGCTAGGGCAGCTTCCGATCCGATTCCAAGATAATCAAATAATCTGACGAGGTAAAACTACTCGTCCCAAAATTGGGGTTTAATGATGTTGACTCATACTTATCTATTAGAGTTGACGAAAAGTTTGCGAAGTATTACGTATTCATCCATAAAGACCTTTTTAAGGGTACTCGTCAAACTAACGAATATACCTCAAAATTCTTATCTATAGCGATATATTTACGGTTAATTTAAGTCCAGCTGACTAGACAGATATGTCTAAAACCTATAATCCCATAGACTGACTGATTAAACATTTCTAAGACCCTCTTTTTGGCAGCAATATCAAAACAGTTTCTTTACATC